GGGATTGGACAGCCTCATAAAACAAAACAGGACTAATGAGGCACAGCAGTCCAGGGACAAGGGCTGGAAGGCAAAAGGGGACAGGAAAGCTGGTGATAGGGAACCCAAGGTTGAGAAGGGACAGTGTTGACATGCCATGGGGTTGTTAACTATTGTCATAGGGCAATATGTGTACTAACTGTTCAGTGAGAAACTATTCTGCAAACCTTCTTCTAAGATTAAAAAAAAAAAATTATGTGAGATCAAATTGACAACAGCAACTCAAAAGGTTTGATGGGAAGCTTAGGGGACAGTGAGTTGAAGACCGTGGTGATGGAATAATTTGGAAAAGGATAGTGAGAATAGCAGCACAACTGGAAAAATGTGATCGATGTCAGTGAATTGTACATGTAGAAACTTCTGAAATGGTATAACTTTGGCTATGTATATTTTCACCAAAAAAAAAGGTCCTCAAGGTCAAGAAGGGAGAGTGTTGACATGTCATGGGGTTGTTAACCAATGTCATAAAACAATATGTGTACTGACTGTTTAATGAGAAACGTTTGTTCTGTAAACCTGCATCTAAAGTACAATAAAAATTTTTTTTTAAATTCAATAATGGTAGTTGTGCATCATTTAGTTTTTAAGATCCCAAGCCCCATACAGTGAACTAGGAGGTAGAATAGAAATACTAACAATATTATTAGGCCAATTGTCTGAATTAATCAATGAAACCATGACCCTAAGTTCTTTAAACCAAGGAAACAAATCTAATGAGGTGGTTTTTTTAATACATAAGCAGCATCAGTAATTGCTTTTCATGTGCCTCAGCAGCAACTACATTCTGCAGAACCTCAGATTGCATATTAGTATTAACACAGCAACATTTATCTATTAAGGTACAAACTGTTCCTTGGGAGACTAACAGGAAATCTAATTGTATTCTATTTTGTAAAATCATTGCTCAAACTTCAGACACTTATCTGGTTATGATATTTACAACTTTGTAATTTTACCAACAAGAGCTTTTAATTCAAGAGTTAAAATATCTAAGCCCATTAGTTAGATAATTTAGGAGAAAGGAAAAGGGTTTCTTATATCCAGAAAGTGGGACCTTAAAACATCAGCAATATGCCCACATAAAACCCATAGTAATCCTTTAGTTTACTCAGTCTTATATAGTTAATTTCTTTTCCATGTGATTCTGGATCAGCCGCAGTCTGTGAACCCATCAGCTTCTACATATGAGTTCTAAATCTTGATTCAGTCTAGTTACAGTGCTTTTCACAAATCCAATATAGTCCATCTTTTTTGTTGAGATATTTTGGTCAAACGTTTTCAGCAAATCAGCAAAGTAAAAACTTACTTCAGACAACAAAACTTAATATGGCCATGATTATTTATAAAAATAATACTCTTAAATTTGAAAGACCAAATAGAAATTAATTACAAGCATAATGTAAAGGCAAATAAAGTCAGTTTAAAAGAACTTTAGACAAAAATATTTCTACATATAATGATTAACCTGATTTTCAAAGAGCTTCAGATATAATACATAATAATCTTGAGACATAAGACCATAGTCAGGATATACCAAGAATATGCCAAGATTGTCAAGTCTCTCAATAACTGAATAGTAATAAAAAAAAAAAAAACTTCATAGGTAAATGATGTGAATTCCCATCAAAGCATTTGCTTTGATGCTGCTAGATTCCAAAAAAAAAGTAGCAATCAAGTTAGCAATTAAAAAAAAAAAAAGTATGACATAATATGCATTTGTAGGCAAAACCTTAAGAGGAAACAGATAAAATTTAACCCAGGGAGAATCAGGTGCTTCTCTTGATTTTGACAACACATTCCATATAATTTATAACATATTAAATAAAACTTGTTAGCATTCTTCCCTTATAAAAAATTTTTGCAGCTTTCCGTGAAGTTTCAGAGTTGTCAGGAGTTTATTATAGGTCACCGTGAAATTATACTTATTTATCCAAAGATCTTAAAGGTAAAAACCTTGCTTTTTTTCTTTAAAAGCCATGTGGCTTGGTTTTTGACTTAGGAATATTATTCCAATGACAGGGCAAACCTTTGCCTTCGAGGCAGATTACACAAAGAATAAATTAACTCTTTAACTCAGTAATCAAAGAAAATGTGTTATTTTAACAATGAGAAACCCAATTCTTTGTTTTAAATGCTATTTAACATTAAAGCTCCTACAATTCTCATAAATTAAACCATTAAACTTTAGTCAGATAAAAATTTTGACCGTAATCAAATAAATTTCTTTTTAATAAACCTCTTAAACATATTTGTTGCATATCACTTATAGTACATCTCTTAAATGGCAAAAAATGAATACCAAATATATATATAATTTCCCTGTGGTATAAAAAGTAAAAATATGTAAACTTAAATTATGACCCGTTTTGCTTTCTCTTTACCCAGAAAATACAAAAGCTCTTTAGCGGTTTTGTAAATGAATTCATCAGTTCTTGGCTAGCCTTTTTTTTTTTTTTTTTTTCCTCCCCTCTGGGCTTGTCCTATGCCTCCCTTTTCCAACTTTGGAACTGCTAGCTTTAAGACAGAATTATCCCTTTTCCTTAAAAAAATACAATTCATAATATATACCTTAAGTTACTTAGAAAGATTGAATTAAACATAAAAATCTTAGTGTACTTCTCAAATAGACTAATTTATATCAAAGTTTCTCCAAGTAGCTACTAAAAGTCTAAATCATAAGACAGACATAAGAGTTTTTCTTAGATGAGGAAAGAACTGAGGTTCTAAGACAGCCTTACAAAAAACAGCAACCGTCAGCCATAGCCTACAACCTGATACAAGACAGAAACTCAGACACAATGCTGTAGACCAGAAGCAAGCTCTCACAACAAAAGGAAAAAGAAAGACCACATAAATTCACTGAACAATACCACACAAAACAAGGATATGGGAATCCTAGTTTCTTAAAGTGTATATAGCAATTTTTGGAAAGCGACTCAATTCACCAGAAAAAAATGGGTTCTAAATAAAACTTATTAACTTGCCAGAGCCTCAGACGGAAGAATATTAGACCTTTTGACAAAACGTGAGCATCAAGCAAAAGTTCCACAAAAAGGAAGACAATACAAATGGAAGCTCATTTTCCCAAAGTGGTCACTGAAATTCAAAATTACTTCTAGTATATTCGGTTTATAATGTTTTTAAATATGAATCCCAAGCCAGTGTCTTGGTAGCAGAGGGGAAATTAAGGCTAATTTATCAAAGATGTTAAGCTCTAAGGTTCAAGCTTTTGGTTTCCTTGTTTTTGAACTTAATTCATTCTGCCGGCTAGAGACGTAGTCTCTTATTTTAGACCTTAAATATACTAGCTCCTCCAATTTGGAAAGTACTTTAAAGTAGCTACTGATGATTTTAACATTGTGATTCTTTATTGAGAAACTACATCATAAAACAGGTCCAGAGCTACCACTTCTCTCAGCGAATTTCCTAAAACAAGTCAGGAACTGTCACTTCCACCTGCAAATTTTATAAAACAGGTCAAGAGCTACCACCTCTCCCTGCAAATTTGGCAAAACAGAGCACTATTTTCCAGATTTTCTCTGAGTCACAAAAAGAACCCTAATGCGGAACACCGCGGGGTTTGTGTGGCACTTGTACCTCTGCTGCATGAGAGTTAGCTTGCAGGTGGCAGGCAGGCTAGTGCTCTAGCCTGTCTCGTGACCACCTTATCCTGTCACGGGAGACTTTAACACTCATGATAAGTGCCGGCGACCACCCTAATGGCTTTTACTGGTCTACCCGTGCCCAAATTTTGTGACTTATAGTTTGAAAATAGAATTACCTCTTAAATGTTTCAAATGCCTGAATCCAGACACTAAACTGCAGTTCACCAAAAGAGATACTAAATGTCACTCTTAACTAAATGATCAAGCAAAAATCTAAGAAAGATTCTCCTTAATCAAAAAACCAACTTTTCAAACAAATATGTCAAACAAAACTTAAGAAAACACAAGAAAGAGAACAAAAAAGAATAAGCAAAGGCTCATTTTCTGAGAGCACTTACCCTGTCGGTGTCAAAGGGACATGGAATGCGAATGCATAGGTCCAGAAGACAGGAGCTCTTTCTGCCAGCTTCTGCTTCACAGTCCAGGTCTCCTTGAGTTCAACTGGATTCATAGTTTCAGAATTTCCTGCAACGACTATGCCATCAACTGTTTTAGGGTAAAAACATCACAAGGTTATAGTAAAGCAAAAAGAAAGATTTTATTCGGCATATATTCAGAGGCAAAAGTAGGAAAACAGCAAGCATGCTGCCAGAGCCATGTCTGCCTGGGTCCCAAGCACAAATCTTTAAGATACAGAAAAATCATGTTATCAAAAATTGTCAGCTACCTTGGTAGCCATATGCAACCACTTGTATTACCTTGTTGTACTATTCTTTACCAAATTGTTGGCAGTCTTAATATAACCTTATATGGTGGTTTTAGTACCTGCTTATGGTTGACAGAGGGGCCTTGCACTATTGGGTGAATATTAGCAAGTTAAATTGTAAAAAAGACATAAGGGACAGTGGGAAAGAGGATTGGTTAAAGCTATATGTTTTCACTGGAGGCCTTTTATAATCAGCATGAAAAATAGAAAGTTGCCTTTTAGTTGTGTGTGCTTTTAACTTTCGTTTTCCCTTTCTCTCTGTCATTCTCTCTGTATGTAGAGGAGTAACATGCTTTACAGGACACTACACAGTGCTTTTTTTTCAACCACATTGAATACGTGTTGGTATTTATCAGTAATCACTCCTTTCTAACCATTTTTAAGTAGACATTTTGACATTAAAATATTTGTCAGACAAAAACTGGAAATTCTTATTTTAAATTGATTTGGAAGGTGAAGTTTATGTACTTTTTTTCTAAAATGAAATGGAAGTAATATTACTTTATGTTATAATTATTATTTTAAGAAGTATATACATTTTTTCTGATTTTCTTGTGACAATTCAGTTACTGGTGTGAAACAACTAGGAAAGAATTGTATAAACTGAACACTTTTAAAAGGTGTTTTAGGTGATACCACTGCATTTCTGTTTAATCTTTTGGATCATATATACCTTATTGCCAAATTCTAGACATTGTTACAGTGTTTGTGAGGACCTTAGACTCAGTAACAATCATTATATGGGAGTCAAATGTAGAACAAAATCACTATTTCAGTAATACCTTGATTCCCTTAAGATGGGCTATTAGACCTCTCTGAACATGCCTTGACCTTTAAATGCCCTTTGTTCCTGTCATCTAGTGGAAAATATATATGCTGTTGTGACTGAGCTAAACAGTGACTGGAAATAGCATTAGGAGCAGAAGATCCCTTGGTTTTAGTTACTTAATTTGTGCATGCTTTAAAATCTTGTGTTCTCCTCAGTAAGCCCATTGGGGGGAAAAGCAAGATACTTTTAATTAAGAGAGTATGAGGAGAATTGTAAAGCACAAGATATATTGAGGTTGTACTTAATCATTTTTAGTATAACATTTTATTCAGCTTTTGCCCACCTAAATTAGGAACTAGGCTAAATTCTTCCCAGTATTCTATTTAAATATCTAATACATACTGCTGTAGTTTTTGGTACTCTCTGTAATTCATATCTTACTTGCTACTGGTTGGCATTGTTACCCACAGGAATTCTAGAAAGCTATCAGTCTGTGCTGCTTGCTGGCCATTAATATGGCTCTAGTTAACCATACTTGTGTTCTGGCTTAATATTTGTCTTTGTCATCTAGTGCTGCTGTATCAGAAATACCACAAGTGAATGGCTTTAACAAAGAGAAATTTATTCCCTCACATTCTAGTAGGCTACAAGTCCAAATTCAGGGTGTCAGCTCCAAGGGAATGCCTTCTCTGTCAGCCCTGGAGGAAGGTCCATGTCACCAATCTTCCCTTGGTCTAGGAGCTTCTCAGGCCAGGGACCCCGGGTCCAAAGGACGCATACTCCTACTTTTCATTCTTGGTGGTATGAGGTCCCAATGTCTCTCTGTTTGCTTCTCTCTTTTATATCTCAAAAGAGGTTGACTTAAGACACTATCTAATCTTGTAGATCTCATCAATATAACTGCCACTAATCCATCTCACTACATCATAGTGATAGGATTTACAACACATAGGGAAATCTCATCAAATGACAACATGGTAGACAATCATACAATACTGGGAATCATGACCTAGCCAAGTTGACAGATATTTTGGGGGGACATAATTCAATCTATGACAATATTTCTTCTGGATTAGCATGCCCGTTGTTATGGATTGAATTGTGTCCCTGCAAAATGTATGCCAAGTTGGCTAGTCCATGATTCCTAGTATTGTGTGATTGTCCACCATTTTGTCATCTGATGTGATTTTCCTATGTGCTGTAAATCCTACCTGTATGATGTTAGCGAAGTGGGATAGCAGCAGTTATGTTAATGAAGCAGGACTCAATCTACAAGATTAGGTTGTGTCTTAAGTCAATCTCTTTTGAGATATAAAAGAGAGAAGTAAGCAGAAAGACATGGGGACCTCATACCACCAAGAAACAAGAGCCAGGAGAACAGTACGTCCTTCGGATCTGGGATCCCTATACTAAGAAGCTCCTCGACTGGGGAAGGTTGATGACAAGCACCTTCCCCCAGAGTTGACAGAGACAGAAAGCCTTCCACTGGAGCTGGAACCCTAAATTTGGACTTCTAGCCTCCTAGACTGTGAGAGAATAAATTTCTTTGTTAAAGCTGTTCACTTGTGATACTTTTGTTATAGCAGCACTAGATAACTAAGACACCCTTGTTCTTCCTGACTTGTCAAGCTTCACATAAATATATGTTCAATTGCAATGTAAGGGTGCACAATTTATAGCAATGCATCTCTGTCTTCATACTTTGAATGGCAAAAGCTATTTATACATAAATATTTCATTTGTGTGTAAGAAAAAGGAAGTGAAGGAAGGTATGATGACAAGGGCTCATCAAATAAATAATATCAATAAAGAGATATAAATTATAAATAAAAACCAAACAGAAATTCTGGAGTAGAAAAGTACACTTTGAAATGAAGTGAAATGAAATTCACTAGAGTAGCTCAACAGTAGGTTTAAAATAGCAAAAGAAAGAATTTGTGACTTGAACAAAACTCAATCAAGATTACACAATCTGAAGAGCAGAGAGAAAGAAGAAGGAAAAACAAACAGTCTTAGAGGAATGTGAGACACCATTAAGTGTACCAGCAAATGCATACTGGGGGTTCCATAAAGAGAGAAGATAAAAAGGAGGAGGAAAAAAAACTTCAAAGGCATAATGGCTAAAAACTCCCCAAATTTATAGAAAAGCAATAACATACACATCTAGTAGAAGTAGGAAAAACACAGAGATCCACAGACACATCATAGTAAAAATTCTGAAAGCCAAGGACATGGAGAAAATCTTGAAAGCAGCAAGAGAAAAATGGCTCATCACTTACAAGGGAACCCTAATAAGAGTAACAACTGACTTCTCGTCAAAAACAGTGGAAACCAGAAGGCAGTGAGACAACATATTCAATGTGCTTAGAGAAAAAAACTGTCAATCAAAAATCCTATACACTTTTCAAAATGAAGTTGAAAAGGCATTCACAAATAAACAAAATGGAGAAAAGTTGTTGCTAGTAGACCCACCTTACAAGAAATAATAAAGGAAGTTCTACAGGCTGAAAGCAAGCAAGACACCACAGAGTAATTTGAGTCCACATTAAAAATTTTTTTTAAAAAAACGAAAACCAAAGAGCACTCGAAAAGGTAATTTTGTAATTATAAAAGACAATATAAATGAGTATTTCTTCTCCTTTCTCATCCTAACTGATTTAAAAAGCAATTGTATATTCTATACACCAGCAATGAGAAATCTGAATAGGAGATTAAGAAAACAACTCCATTTACAATAGCATCTAAGATAATAAAATATCTAGGAATAAATTTACCAAGGAATGTGAAAGACTTGTACAATAAAAATTATAAAACACTGCTGAAAGAGTCTAAACCAACCAAAACCAAACGCATTGCCATCTAGCAAATTCTGACTCATAGCAACCCTATAGGACAGAGTAGAATTGCCCCATAGGGTTTCCAAGGCTGTAAATCTTTCAAGAAGCAGACTGCCACATCTTTTTCCAATAAAAGAAACTAAAGAAGAACTAAATAGGTGGAAAGGCTTTCCCTCCTCAGAGATTGGAAGACTTAATATAGTCAAGATACCCAAAGTGATGTACAGATACAACACAATCCTGATGACAATTCAAATAGCCTTCTTTATAAAAATGGGGAAAAAAACTTCAATTTTATATGGAAAGACAAGAGATCCCAAATAGCCAAAGTAATTTTGAAGAAGAGGCCTGACTTCAAAACATATTACACATCTAGAATAATCAAAACAGCCTGGTTTAATGATAGACACATAGACAGATGGAACAGAATTGAAAATCCAGAAATACAGCCATACATCTATAGTCAACTAATTTTTGACAAGGGTGCCAATTCCATTCAATAGGGAAGGAAAAGTCTCTTCAACAAATGGTGCTGGCAAAACTGGATTTCCACATGCAGAAAAATGAAAGAAGATTCACACCTCACACCATACACAAAAAATAATTCAAAATGGATCAAGGACCTAAACATTAAATCTAAAACCATAAAGTTGTTGCAAGAAAATATAGGAGCAAAGCTTTAGGACCTAATTTTTTTCAATGATAGATTATCAAACACAGCAACAAATGCACATGCAACAGAAGACAAAGGAGATAAATGGAGCCTCATAAAAGTAAAATACTTATGTTCATCAAAATACTTCATCAAAATAGTAAAAAGACAAGCTACAGACTGGGAAAAAATCTTTGGGAATGATATAACTGATAAGGGTCTAATATAAAAAATATTTAGAAAACTTCTACTATTTAACAACAAAAAGACAAATAACCCGATCAAAACTGGGAAAAGGACATGAACAGACACTTCACCGAAGAGTACCTTCAAATGGCCAACAGACACATGAAAAGATGCTCAACACCACGAGACATCAGAGAAATGAAAATCAGAACCACAATGAGATACCATTTCAATCCCACTAGGATGGCCAAGATAAAAGAAGAAAAATAAAGCAGAAAATAATGAGTGTTGCAGGGGTTGTGGAGAAATTGGAACCTCATCCATTGTTGGCGGGAA